GCATCCACAGCTGAGCATCCTTTTGGCTTTGGCCCAACCACTTCATTAGCTCTGGAGCTACTTTACTTGTCCTCCGCTCTTCCTCAGTAACATGTTGGGCGCCTTCCGACCTGAGGGTCCCATCTTCTAGCGTCATATCTTTTAGCCTTTTGTTTCTGTTCATGGGGTTTTCTTGACAAAGATACTGGAGTGGCATTGCCAGTTCCTACTCCAGGTGGATTGCATTTAGTCAGAACTCTCCACTATGACCTGTCCGTCTTGAGTGGCCCTGCACGGCATAGCCCGTAGCTTCCCTGAGTTACTCAAGTCCCTTCACCACAACAAGGCAGCAATCCGTGAAGGGGCCCCCTCTCCTAGACATCCTGATAGGCTGCTGATAGCAGCCCTTGCAGCGCTACTAAATAAAAAAATTCCCAAACATTTTTGACAGACATAAGATAAAGAAAGGTTAAACAAAAAAAAGGACAAACACAAAAAAGAATAACATTTTTATCTGTTTTTCATTAACACAAATCCTTTGTGTTTATGATGCTCTCTTTCGTAACTGATGAAAGAATACAAAAGTGAAAAAAAAGCTTTTTTCATTCCCCCACTCCTCATTACAACATGGAAGTCCTAGTAGCCCTACCAATCTGTTTTCAGGCATAATTTAAAGCGTTGGTTATGCTCTATAAAACCCTATATGACTTTGTTCTAGGTTATCTGAAGCAGGGTGTTCTTCAATATGAGCCAGCATAGCAGCTATAATCTTCAGGCAAGACCTTTCTGTCCTACCACCCTCAGATACGTGTTTGGTGGGAACATGAGAGAGGGTTTTTGGGTAGCCACCCCCAGGCTCTGGAACCTCTTTATTAAAGGGAGATTGGGCTAGTCCCTCAATGTTGTCTTTCTGCCAGCAGGCATCTGGCAACTGATTGGTAGAAAAGGATTTCAAAACAATATTTGTTTGTTTGTTTACTCAATTTATATACCATCCATCTAGCCAACAGCTGTTCTGGTGGTACACAACAAAAATATGAAAAATAGATTATTTATTTACTACAGACATTAAACAATGATTTGTCTCCATTCTTCTTGAGCCTTTCCAAGATCTGATGTAATCAGATGTAAACAGCCGCCTAGAGTCGTTCGACTAGATAGGTGGAATATAAATGCAATAAATAAAAAAATAAATCACAAATATTGGCTGGTCATTAGTCCAAACCAAAATATATACCTATACTGAAACACTTTCCTAAGACACTTTTCAAAGGTGTTTAAAACTGCTGTTTAACTTTTCAGAAATCCAGAATAAATGTTCAAAATAGAGTACTTGCAGCAAGACACGTAATATATGTACAATAAATTACAAAAAAGGACATGTGATGATTATATTGTAAGTATGCAGACATGCAAAATTACTAGGCTTTGCAGGAAATTCTGTATTTCAGGATAATTGAAACATGCCACAGAAAGTTAGAATAAGGATTTTAATAGTTAATAATCTAAAATCCTAATTCAAAAACTTTGCAGAAGTGTATAGACCACTGAAAGGCTTACATTAAAAAACCAGTGCTCTTGATCCAAACCAAGTTATTACACTTATTAGCAACTCTCTTCAAAAAGCTCACAGCAATTTACATAGGTTTCCTAGATTCTACCCAGGTCGCAGATTGCACCTAACTCATCCTATTAAATTTCAACACAAATAATGTCCTATATTTTATTTTACATTGTAAGACTAAGATTATAGTTATATAATGCACAAGAAGTGTGTATCTAATGTACCATACTGGTTAGATAAAACGAATCTCACCGAAATGTTTAAAGTATTTACCTCATTAACATTTATCTTTGATTTTGCAGAAGACTCTAAGAATGCACAGTTATTCCACTGCCTTGCTAAATTCTGTCCTTGCTCTTTCCCCACAACTCTTTCATCTTCCAAATCACACTTGTTGCCAACCAGAATCATTGGTACCTATAGTGATAAACCATATATGCATATTTGTGAGAATCAGAAAATCATTGCAGCTACAAACTCAAGTCAAACTCAAGATTTTAAATTTTAAATTTAAGTAGCAACCAGCATCAACAAATAGAGTAAATGTTACAGTAAAAGCATTTAAAATGAATCAGAACATTAAAGTAACTTTGAAGTAGGGCTGGGCAACACACTGTTTAGCTGCTGATGCTGTTGCCTATAAAATGTTATATCCTTCCCCATGCCTAAAAAGCTGGGGTAGATATTAATAACTATCTTATAATGCCAGCCAATATATCTTTCTTTACACAGCCTAATTTAGTTTCAACATTTAGAAACCTGGAAATTCAGAAAATTTAATGGACAATATATTGCCAAGGCTCTACCTCAGAATTATCTGGAAGACTATCAGAGTAATTTATTAGCTGCTTGGGGTGGATTGCTCCACACAAATGTCAACCAAACACCTATTTCAAACTGCACCACATTCCAGCAAGAGTGCTGTGATATGTATCAGCAAAACTTAGGGAAAACTAAACTATTTGAGTCTCTTGATGTATCATGCTATGGCTGAAATCCTGTTCTGTAACATATGCTTGTGACAGGATGATGACATCAGCAGCAAGAGCAATTTTTTAGAAACTAAAAATCACCAGTGCTGATTACATCATCAGCATTACACAGATGAAAGTTATGGAACAGCATTTCAGCCAATATATCTGATATACTCAAACCACTGTTATTTTCTAGTGACAATTTATACAGGTTTCCAGAGAAAAGGCGTATTGGTTCAAAGACTAATAGCTATATATATGATGTACTTCATATCAAAATAAAGAGTAGGATTATCCAATTTTCATGTATACTCTTTGTTGCCTTGAACATTTCAGTTTATTTTCTACTGCCCCTGATTAAAAAGAAACCGTTATACTTTTGATACTCCTTATTTCATTTAAAGCTTTGCTATAAATCTGTGCCACCTCAATTACATAATGAATTAGTAACTAACTAGAGATATTTTATTAATTGACCACATCTAGGAAAGATGACAGGGAGTTCATTTTTGGCCAACATAACTTCCTATGCATATATATTAGAATGCCTCTGTTTCGCAGTGTTCAAATAAAGTATGTTGGCTACAGAAGAGAAATAAACTATGGCCAGAATCCACTGAACTCTGGGCAGTGAATTGCTATTCATTAACAAGCTGCTGGTCATGTTCCTGGAGAATGCAGGAATGCAACCAGCATCTTATTAATGTGTGGAAATTTGCTGCCAAGACTTACATAATTTCCTTTATGCAAGCATAAATTGACAATAGGATTTTGGCCTATGTTTATATTATTATTAACCACTTTCACAGAAATGTCAGTAACATGCTTACATCATCAGTGTCTTTGACTCGAAGAATTTGTTCCCTTAAATCCTGCAAGTCATTAAATGTGGACTGTGCTGTGATGGAATATACTAAAGCAAATCCTTGACCGTTTTTCATATAGAGATCTCTCATGGCTGTAAACTGTTCCTGTAATACAAGACATAAAACGGAAAACTCAGAATTCAGATTTTAACAAAAGCAGCCTGACTTACCCCAGTGTGACACTAGTAACACAGATAAATTCCCTTGCCACTTCCTTCATATTCCAAATGGGGCTTGTCTGCCCTCTGGATAATTCCTTTATTCCAACCCCCTCTTAAAATCTAAACAGCATGAATAAAACATGCCACTGAGTATTAACAAGTCTTCAAAAATTTCTAAGTAAAAATAACTTTTACATCACAGTGAGTACAACCCCGGTTGGTTTTCCTGATCAAAATAATTCAGACAAAAAATGGCAAACTTTTAGTCTTGCTTACAAAATGTTTTAGATCATTATGCTAACTGAAATCTCAATTGACTTCAGAGAGCAAAATCTTATTGAAAACCCATGTCACTGCTTGATGTACTGTGTATTTGGTGGGTTCTGAATTGGCTAGATCAGATTCATGAAGATGTACAAAATTTTACAGTGGTCCAAATGTACAGCAAAATTATTTCTATGCAGCTTCTACAACATTTATAGAATACCTGCTAGTACATCAGGGAACAGAGAAGATAACTCCCTGCCAAGGTTTTGATTAGCTACAACTCTCATCATGTCTGACAACTGGCTCTATGTGCTAAGTCTGAAGAGATACTGAGCAAAGATGCCAAAGTGAATGTGTGAATATTTCAGTATTTCATCTGCCTTTCAAATTCTAACCTGTCCTCTCATTTTGTTTTCTGCTAATTAAATCAGCACTGCTATGTCCCATTAATTTCACTGGCTTCTGTTGAATGGGTATAGAAGACTAATTGATGTGTGAATTAATAAGGAACTACAATGACATGCTCACTATAATCATGAAATCTAGTTTATTATGAAGCTCACTCACTGCTCTGTAAATCCATTTCATCTGTAAAAGCTGGCTTACAACAATGGTATATATAAATTTTTTTACATACCGTTCCTGCCGTGTCTAAGATTTCAAGCATACATTGTTGTGCATCTACTTCAACTTGCTGTCAAAAGAAGAGAAGCAAATTTGTACTGAAGCAGAAACAATGAAAGTTCAGATACTCAATTGTTTTCTTTTACAAGGTACCCATAATGCACAAGGTTTTGTCCCTTACCATATTCAGAGCAGATGGCAGGCTGTAAGAGAGTTTAAAAGTTTATATAATAAAATAGCAAAATAGTTTATTGATTTTGCTTGGGTCACTTGCTTGAGAGAGAAAAGATAGGAAGAACAAGATGGCAGTGAAAAAGTTACTGCCTGCTAACATTCTAAGGAATTTTGAGAAAGAGAAAACCAATTTTCATTAATATACGATGTCAAAGTCTATGATGGCAACCTGAATTGTGCATGGTTCTGAGAGAGCAGCAGCTTGCCTAATATAGCAAATGAAGATAAAGCAAAGGCTGGTATCATTCACCTCTTGATTAATATCAATGCCTCTCAGCACTTTCGTCTCTCCCTCCCATGTCCGCCCCTAGTGGATACAACATCTTAAGCCCCATTACTTTCCTTTACAAACCACTTTCACATACATCTTTCTTTAGCTTCTCTGTAATGTAACACTTTTTCTTGAATTTCCCATTCTTACAGTATTCTATTACTCAAGCTTCCCCTTTCCTTCTGCCACTCTGCCTCTGAGGTCTATGGCCCTCAATTCACTACCAACCTGGAAATCATGTACCCAGTACCCACACTCAAGCTCTCATACAGTTTTCCCCTCAGCCAAATTCACCATTTAATTCAGCTTATAAAAACAGTGTCAAACATTCTATTCTTGGCAGGTTTTTCCTCTTAGGAGAATGCTTAATAACATTCTGCAATATTATACTAACGTAGCCAGTCACCGCCACATACTTCCATAACCATTATCACACTATACAGCACATTGCAGTAATTTTATACTATAAGCTTAATAAAGACACTGAGTGCCAGTGTGTACAGTGGATAGAGTGACAGACAAAAGCACAGGAGACATGAGTTCAAATCACTGCATGGCCATGGAACTTCACTGAAGTATGGCAATGGTAAGTCCAGTCCAGAAATATCTCATGTATCTTGAAAATCCTATAAAGGTTGCTATAAGTCACATAAAAAAGAATAAAGGTATAATTTTGATACAGAATGTGGACACTATTATAAACCAGTGGTTCTTAACCTTTGTTACTCGGATGCTTTTGAACTGCAACTCCCAGAAACCCCAGTCAGGACAGCTGGTGGTGAAGGCTTCTGGGAGTTGCAGTCCAAAACTCCTGAGTAACCCAAGGTTAAGAACCAGTGTTATAAACAAACATGGATGCGTAGGCCTGTATAGTTTCCCCACACAAATCCCTTGATATTTTAGCTCACATTGCTTTACCTGTATGTCACCACTAGTACATTTCTATACTGTTTCTCATTTGTACAAATCTCAAATGGCTTATAGCCATTTTGTATTATTTATTCTGTTCATTTACTTATCTATTTTTTCCATGAGGAACGCTCAGAGCAGATAACATGTTAATCTTTTCCACATGTCTTCCATTCTGGCAGAAAGATCTACTGCTACTTACTTTCATGCTATATCAAAGGCTAGATCATTCACTGGAAGTTGTTTACATCGGCACTACTGATTTTGAACTAAAAAAGGTAACTCGTTTATTAACAACAGAGCTTGATATTGAAGAATAGAGTCTTCCAAGAAGGAACATCTACTCCTTCAGACAACATCCTTTCCTGTTCTAAACTGAGCAGCTTTGGATGGTGAGCAATTATTTTGCATAATACCAAATATGTTAATCATTTAAATATATATTACAGCTTGAAAGGATATACATACCTTTCTGTATGAGTCTTCTATCGTAGGATCATATTTTTCAACAAATATTCCTTGAACAAACTGTACAGTCTACAATAGAAGACAGTGTTTTATACACACACACAGCTTATAGACAATTATGATTAATAAACATCCCTAATAAAACAAATATTTAAAGTCTGGGAAGGTTATTGACTATGCTGCAATATTTCTAAAGAACTTTATAAGAGTAAGCATTAATAACAATCATGATTCAGAGTGAAATTCTTCAGGCCTGAAGAACCAAAGTGCTATCAAAATGAACTGGCTGAAATACTGTTGGTGCAGTTATGTCTGAGGGCTGTCATCAGCCTTGCACAGAGTAACATATGGAACAGGATTTTAGCAGATGTGTTATAAATTACACCGCTCACTGTAAGTTATTTGACCAATGCCACAGTACACGTGTACACTTATTTATAAAGTGCTGAAACCTGTGCCAGACTTTTTATTTATCAGCATTACAGTGGTGCTTTGACTTACGAACGCCTTGACCTACGAACATTCTGAGTTACGAACAGCTCCGTTCACAAAATATTGCTTTGACCTGCGAACAAAGCTTTGACTTATGAACAGAAAAAAGGCAGGGGAAAGGGGAGGGAAATTCAAATAGGTGAATTCAGAGTGGCGACGAGGCTGCTTCTTTGTAGCTTTTTTGCCCCAGCACTTAGAGAGTGTGCGATCTGAAGAGGCTACCTGCTAAGGTAAGGTGCTGTTTTATACTTTTTAAAAAATGTTCTGGGTATTTTTGCAGTGTGATTTTCGGTTGGGGGGCTTATGTTTCCATGCTATGATGGGTCTTGGGGTGTGTGTGTTTGTTTCTTGGTTCCCCCCCTCCTTTCCGATGGGGGACAGGTTCCTTTTTGGAGTGTTTTTCCCCATTTCTGATGGGTCTTGGGGAATTTGTTTTTTTTAATTCCCCCCATTTCCGATGGGTCTTGGGGGATTTGGTTGCTTTTGGGGGTTTTATCCCCCATTTTTGATGTGTTTTGCATGCTTTTTGCTTTGTTTTTGCATTTCTGATCTGCTCCGTTTGTTTTTGCAATGGTTCATGAATGCTTCTCTTGCTTTTTTGCTTTGTTCTCTCTGGATTTCTGATATGCTCGGTTTGTTTTCTGTGCTTTTGCAATGGTTCATGCATGCTTCCCTTGCAAATCAGAAAAGTTTTTGCAATGATCTGTGCTGGCTTGGTTTAAAATGTGTTTCTTTAGCATGTGTTTTAGGCTCCAAACTCTCTCCCTCCCCCATTGTCTTCTCTCTGTCCCCCTCCTTTCCTGCCCCTTTTAAACCTAAGTCATTTTAGGTTAAAAAAAATATTCTCCCCCTAGTGGTAGAGAACGGATTAACCAGTTTTGCATTAGTTCCTATGGGAATGAATGCTTTGACTTACAAACCGTGCCTTGACATACAAACCATGCCTCTGGAACAATCTACCTCCTGAGATTCGCGGGTCTCCCTCGCTGGGTATCTTTAAGAAGCAATTAAAGACATGGATGTTTCGGCAGGCCTTCCCATCACATAACTCCTGACCCCCTTCTTTCCTCTCTTACTGTTTTTGCTTTGTGTATCATGTAATGTAATGTAGTGCTTTTATCACTTAGAACTGCCTATTACATTTTTATTGTATCATTTTATGATTGTTAGCCACCTAGAGTGGTCCTCACCCGACCAGATAGGCGGGATATAAAATAAATACATAAATAAATAAATAAAAACAGCTGGAACGGATTAATTGGGTTTCAGTGCGTTCCTATGGGGAAAGCTGTTTTGACTTACGAACGTTTTGACTTATGAACACCATTCCATTACGGATTAAGTTCGTAAGTCAAGGCACCACTGTAGTTGTTTATGACACCACAGATAAAATAAGATGCTGATTAATTATTAAAATTAATTAATTACACTTGGAATCTTATACCAGATCTTTTATACTTTTTATATCCACTATTACCACCATTCATTTTTCTTATTATTATAGAAAAGTAGACAGACAAATCACATCGGACAAACTGAGAAATCTCTCACTTCATCTATGTATATAGAAAGACAGGCATTTTAATTCCATGTCTTTCGCTAAGTAAAGGAAAAATAAACCAATGCTGCTACTTTTGTTGGGCTGTCATTTATCATTCACACAGTTTGTTCTGAACATCTGAACATTATGCTGAGACACATATCAGCTATTTCTTCAGTGGCTCTCAATTTGAGACGCCTTCAACCTACTTTTTAACAGTGAAACTGCACAACAGATCAAGGGCATGCGTGCTAATAGAAGAATTTCTGAAGAAACTGAACTGTTTTTGCAAAGTTTAGATTTCACTTTGCACTGTAAAAACAAAGAAAATAATAATAAAGCACACCCTTCAAATAATATTCAAACAATGCTTGTCTAGATCATGATGATTTAAAACTGAAGGGAGGAGAGCAAGACTTGGCTATCTACAAGAAGATCAGTCATTACTGTTCCCCACAAAATACAAAAACTCAAAATACTGCTACTGCAGAAGAAATAATGACTGAAGAGTTATGGCTTTAATGACAGGATGTTTTAAAATGTAATTTGAGAACCATCTGAAGCATAGACTATTATAGGATAAAGTATAATTTTACCCAACCTAAGAGCAGCATAAGTTCTCATCATGAACTGATAACGCACACTTGTTTTTTGACAATTCAAAGCACTGATTATTTGAGGCTTTTAGAAGACGCTAGTTATGTGGTCTTGCAGTGGCTGTACCACTTGCCTGAATATCCAGTATGCTGGGTCATGTGAAGGTACCTCTTCATTTGGGCACTAGGCCAAGATAGCCACAGTGCAGTCGAGAGGCCATGTACTGTCCCCAATAGACCTCCCACGCATTTTTTCTTGATTCAAAAAACACACTTGCACATCTAGAGGACAAGAGAGCAATTCTGCCTTATTTTCAGTCTCCCACAGACTTTGTTTTATACCTAACAGCCCTTTTGCCGAACTAAAAATGACCAACTGTTATTTCCATGGTTTTTGGCAGGGAAAGGGGAGAGCTCTTTAGGCCTCAAGCCAATTGTGGGGAAACACGGTAAAATTCTCCACTGTCTCCTAGAGAGTAGAGCCTTCTAGACTAAAAAAAGGGGGGGAAGGGTGTTAGGGAGGCATATTTAGCCCACTGGCCCTATCTGTTTGTAGTTGCCAAAGTTCTCCCAAGCCAGACATGAAGAAGAACTTTAGGATTCTTGAAAACTCCCAAGTTTTTTCTCTGCTAACACATATTTGGCAGTGACTAAGTTTCAAAATGTAGTAAGATTTTCAAAAAGAATAGCCAATTTAGAGAAGAAACATACACAGGAAGATCCAAGACTAAAACACATAGCCAACAGCACAAAAACATGCTTTTAATATCTTAACATTATTAGAACTAGGTAAATAATTCTAAGAAAATTAACTATTTCCCAGAGCAGAAAACTGCTCTAAATCCACTATGGTGCAGCAATTTTACCATAATTTATAGGTTCTCTCCTCTACCACATTAGCACAGTTAGCTTTTCAAAGTAATATTTAAGCTTTAAAATAATTTATTGATGCTGGCTGCTGACCTATTTCTTAGCTACTGTGCAATCAATATTTAAATGGAAATGAAAAAGCCCAAGCCCATTCACACAGGGCATGTGAACCTCCCAGACTAGCTCTCCTAACAGTAACCGTTTTGTTCACGTTTGTGTTATATTCAGTGTGGCAAAACTCACTTTCTGATCATCCTACAACAGAAGAAAATGTGATATACTGACAGTATTGGCCAGTGTCCCTAATACCTGAATATAATGTGGAATGGCAGGCGTCCCATTATATGGCCAGTTTGCAAGTGATCTTCTAAACAATTTAGGAATAGGCATGTGCTGGAAAGTCTCCCAGAGCAACAGTAAAGCAACTGAGCCTTGGGAAAGATGTTTTATCCTTACATAATGGGAAACTGACAAATTATGGTGCTGTGGAAAAGTATGTGTAACTATCTGGGGAGCCAAGGACAAATTAGAAAACTGGAAGAGTCAGATTATGCCACAGGTTTCCACTCCTATCTTTAAAAAGTAACAACAAAGGAAGAACTACTTACCAATGCAGACTTTCCAACACCTCCTGAACCAAGAACCACTAGTTTGTATTCACGCATGGTGTAAGTGTTGAGTCACCACCTCAGTACCTACAATACAAAATATACTATATTGTAACTTTATATGGTTTGAGTGTACAGGTTTGATACAGCCTATCACTGTATCTTGAATGTATATTAAAATATATTCATGTTATTGTACTAATGATTTTTAAGAAGGCAAGAGAAGTATAACTGTCCAGTTTTAATCAATAATTTTTCCTATGTGTTAGGGTCCTGAAAATATGTTAGTAAAATTTAGTAGATGAAGATTTAATTTGTCTAATACCCTGTCCTGGATGCTTAACCAGAGAGATCTACATTTCTCAAAATTTACCCCTGCATTAATCATCAACAGATGAAATAAATAATTACATTTTAGAAAGTAACCAGCAATATAAGATCAACCTCTCTTTGTTCTGCACTAAATGCCTGGTTAAAGCACACTGTCTTGTTTAATGAGCTTATGTTCCTCTCTTCTCTTTCCTTCAAGTACCTTTCCTTTAGGAATCTTATACAGCTTGTAAGCAATAACAGTGATGTCACATATTTTCTGTTTGTTATTGAATTGAGCCCTTATGGGAGGCAGTAACTACTGTATTTCAAACAGATTTAAAATGTTGATAAATTAATGAACATTCACTCAGTTTAGCCCATTAATAATAATAAACACAAAATTTGAAAATTCAGACATCAGCTGAAACAAGCTCGATGAAGATACATCGTAGTATCCCAAAAGACATATTCCACATTCTCTGTAGCCCAACTGAATAACTATATATCAAAGCAATAGTTCCAGAATAAAGAAAATTGGATACCATCCATTTCACCTACAGGAGGACATAAGCAGCAAAGTGCAACACTTCCAGATGTCCCTACACTACAACTCTCAGCATTTCTCACTACCAGATACAACAGTTAGGTCAAAAACAAGTTGTAGTCCAACAATAGACAGGGTCCAAAGCAACTGCTCCTGATAGTGCCTGGGAGCAGCAAGGGTTCATGGGAGTTTCATGAGAGCATGGGACAGGTAGTTTCACTGTCTGTTAGGCCCTACAGAAGGTGCCTCTCAAAGAACTACCCATCCCATGCTCCCTTGAGTCTCCCATGAATGCTTGCCACTCCCGCACATCACCAAGAGCAATTTCCTTCTTCTTGAAAGAACAATATAATAGCAATGGGGGCTCGCACTGAGATGAGAAAAGCTGCTCTTTAAACTAGTTTTCAGGCTGCAGCTCTCAGAATTCTGCCTTGGGGGAGTTCTGATGAATTCTGTGAGCAGTCTAAAAGAAACAAGAAGTTCCATGCTTAGCAATGGTAAAACCACTCGAAATATCTCACATGTCTTGAGAACCCTATCTGTGTTGCTATACATTGAATCCGTTTTGACAGCACATAACCTAACTTAACCTACTACATCACCTCATCATAGCTCTGCAATTCTAAGATGATTATTATTGTTGTTGTTGCTGTGTTCCTTCTGCATTACAGAAAGGAGATATCCATAAATCTCACACATACAATTACGTTCTCTCTTCATCCAGTGGTGTAATGTAGTCTCCAGAATTAGTAAATGGTACATGATATGAAAATGCCATTCAGGGTGAAAGCACTGCTGACTTGGCTCCTTGTTAAAAATTACAATTTGCAGAATGCATTGATGTTTTCATCAATTCACGCACCCTGCAGCCCAGTGCTTCAAATAAGAAACATGACACACAAGAGTTTACCTTAACCCTCATTTCCAAGGTGCAAATATCACATTGGGAAGTAGAAATCAGTAAGTGCCTACAATGATTCAAAGTTAGTAATGGAGGTATGCAAATCTGCATTTTTGGGCAACAACTCCAAGAATATTCCAGTCAGCTTGGCCAGACCTGCACACATCTAGTAACAGTATATCTAACAAACAGAAGAAATAAAAAAAGACAAAGAGAACACAAAAGGGAAAAAACTATTTCTTCACAGAATTACTGCCAACTACTAAACTCCTAGGAAGCTGAACAAAATTCTCCTTCAAGGAGACTTTCATCACCAAAAGGTTACAGAGTCAATTAGGTAGGAAACACTTAGTAACAAAACGAACAAGCTGTTCTAATTGCCACTAATATGTAGGTGAGTTATTTATGAAAGAGGTCCTATCACATCTGAATCAGTACCCATATCTAGTCAACTGCAATTAGCCAATGAGAAGCTAATGTTCTAGAAAGAATTGAATTTTCCTTAGATTTTTAAAAGCCCAACAAGTTCCACAAAAACATATAAATCATGCTGCCAAGCATTAGTGTGAAGAAATTCTGTGCCTCAAATTCATTCAACTACACATGCAGACTTTTCAGTAGCAGTTGGCAATCACTATTCTAGAGCACTGGGGGAAAAAACATTTATTAAACACCAAGTCTAGGCCAAGCTATAAGAGGCATCAATTCTTCCTCAGAAAAAGAGAAAAAGAACACAAATTCCACAAGATCCATGCGAAGGAATTATAAATATGAAGCGCAACACAAATTCAAAGAAACCTTTGCTGGGCAGAGGGAAGGCAAGATAGAAGAATTCAGTAACAATTTTCTAGTGCCTGGGAACTACAGTATTTGCAACAAGCTTGAAAGACCCTGGTGCACATGATGCCCACCAACTGTAACAGGTGAACTCCATAAGATTTAGACACCTTGACCTAAATCTAATTGTTATTCCCAACCAGGGTACACCCTTTTAATCAATGGGAATTTAGTTACATCAATTCAATGGACTTACTCTGTTAAGAAGAACAATCAGATTTAAGACAGCATCTTAGCTGGAAATGCAGGCTAAATTGCTCAAGGGGAACAATGTCTGTTAGGCTGCTATTTGAAGACATGACTACTCTGTACACTAAAGTATGCACAAACGGCAGCATTTTGAGGTTTCTCATAGAAAAATATGCTCTCAAGAAGAGTTTCTCATTGTAAATTTTCTTATGCATATGAAACATTTTTCACAGAAATATTTCAATCTAGGCAGATGATGTAACAAGGAATTTTACTGGGGCAGTGGGACTATGTCCACACACATTGTGCAAAATCCAACATCCTGTTATCATTTAGGGAAAGAAGTGGGCAAGAATGTTTATCAGAAAAGGATAGGAGACAACTCACACACTGTTCACAAGAACTTTGTGGCATCGCAGTCAGCTATGCTTATTTGGCTTGTATATAGCAATAAATAAGAATTCGATATGCCATACCTTGTTTTGATGGTACTTGTACACAAATGCACAATAAAGTTATCTAGGCAACTTAACAACACATACAACATTAAGATGAAGAGCAACAACCAGCAAAAGTAACAACACTCCAAAATGAAACAAATTTTAGAACTGAAAGGTCTAGACTAGCTGTTTAAAAGCAAGAAAAACTGTCATCTGCCATCAGAAAGACAAAATGAATATTGTGACTGGGTTTATTTTCCCTCAATAATCCTTAAGCCCAGACTAACAACCATAGATCTTCTTTGAATACAACATCTTTGACATAATGGATGTCTTTTCAACTACAACCTTGAATAGCATTTCTTTGGCTTTCCAATCCATTGGCCTCAGTGGCGATAATTCTCTCCATGGGCTTCTGCCATCACTTGCATAACTGGAGGGTGGAAGTTCTGCAAGCCCTGACACAGACTGTCGTAGCAGGGTTGTCAACCGTACCATGGGGTCCCTGACTCTGGTCTCCCCATGTTGGGTAACTCCCCCAGGACACCTGCTGCTTCATGGCCTCCATCTAGAAAAATTAAGCTTCTTCTTGATTCTACTGTACTTATGGGACCCAAAACAAGGCCACCAGAAAAGACCAAAGCAGAGTTTCACAAGGAAGCTCATAGTCATTTAAATATCCTACTTAAAGAGATTTAGTTCTTTGAAAAACACAGCAAACATTGTTACTTTGTTATTACTGTTATTATACTGCACTTAGTTCATATATTTTTAAATATAGTTTCCTGAAGATATGTCTCATATCAATAAATAGGTGCAGAAACACAAGAAACTTATTTACAATAATTAACTATACTGCTTTTATTACACTATTTTATTTCAACAGTGTGAACTAAATGACCCTGTACACTGGCTTTTATGAGATAAAGCAAAGGGAAAATGTCTTGCTTGTGTGCCTAGATAAAGGAATTACCAGTTGCATAACCTGTGTCTACACATTATTGAATCAAGTGAAATCTCAGTCTTTGGAACAAAAGTACTCTCATTGCTAAGAAGTGTCTTCATCCATATCCATTATAATGGAAGAGTGCACTTTCTCCACTTGCTTTTTTTTACACCTCTTCACTGCAGAAGTACAAAACAACAGGAATGTGCTTACCATAAGAGGAGGATGATTGGTAACACAGTCAGGGTAATCAGACTCATGTCTGATCTCAAGCATAGTACCATTTGGGACTTCACATTTTAACAACAGGAATAAGTTTCTGAAGAGAGTTATACAGCAGCCTTCAACAACTGCACAAAATCATGAATTCAGATAATGCAATTTCCTTCTGGCTGTTGGATAAAACTGCACTGTGGATATCAAGTTTCAGTGAGCCACAAATATCACCAGGATCCAGGTTTGCTGGATACAGTTTCAGGTTTCTGGGTATTCACAAAAGCAGTATTTAATTGTTGTCAATTGTTTAAACATTTGTTCCTTAAAAATGCAAGGCATTCCAAGTTTGGAAACAATATCCAACAGTAGCATTTTTAGTATAGATAGTAAAAAAATGTATATTCTGTACATGAAGCCATGTTTGTAATTGTAAATGAGAAGTCACAGCTCAGCTTCCTTTCTGAGAGAAGCTGAATTACACCAAAAAGAAAGATAGCAGAAATTAGGCCTTCCTGTTGTGCAAGGTCCACAAAAGTCATGGGAAAGGTAGTTAAGCTCTTCTCTAGTGAAGCTCTTCTGAAAGTTCATCCTAGCAAAAATGAAAGCAGAGGGACACTGATTTTGAGAGAAAGCAGGTAATTTGCCAAGATTGGTCTTCCCTACCTCACCCTAGAAAAAGTAAGCAAATTTGGTATTATATGC